TAAGATAGATCATTTTAACCTAAAAGAAGGGCCTCAATGTGTATAGATGGTGAAAGAATATGTTTGTAATAAATAAAACCATGATGATAATGCTTATATTTAGTTTCAAACACACGTGTGTGGCCTACAGTATATTATAAATAAGATAAGCCCTATGTCGTATTGTTTTCTATATGGGGAGTGGGGTGGGGTGGGGTGGTTATAGTAAATTACTAACCGGGAAATGAAGATTGTATGTTATTGTTATTATTATTATTATTATTATTATTGTTATTATTATTATTATTATGTTGTAATGATGTTGTTTGTACTGTTCTTTAATTTTATTAAAGAGGGCCCCTGAATATCAGTTAACCTACTGGGCTAAACTAGAAGGGTTACCCTCTTTAAAGATGGTTGAAATAAAAAATTAAAAAATAATAAATACCCACTCTGACCCAAGACCCCTGTTACGCGCCTGGTGTTAGCGCCAATGTGTGGCTTTGTGCGGACAGGAGATGTGCCCCCCCCCTCTGAAGCTGGAAAACCTTGTTTTTGCAAAATAAATTGATGCAATTTGCTATTATAGGCCCCTAATCAATAAATAAATAAACATCTAAGGAAAGAAGAGCTTAGATTGGTACCAGATAAAATAATTTTGTTATCAACATTAATACATTATGCTAATTTTCATCTTTGTAATAATAATAATAATAATAATAAAGATTTATAAAGCGCACATCTCCACCAAAGGTGCTCAAGGCGCATAGACAATTAAACCAATTGTAAGCGGATAAGACGATGCAAATTATTTCTGTGACAGTCTTTTGAAGTGTGTAAAGCTCCATTTTATCCCATACATAGTCAAAATATTGGGGGGGATGATACAATGGACCATCCCCCCCCCCCTTTTGTTTATTGGGGGGATATATTTCCCCATCCCCCAGGGATCTACGCCTATGACTTCATATACGAAATGTTCACCCCTGATTTAATTATTTATCTAAATAATTTATTTCAAATTCAAAACAATGATGAATATCATTTATCAATCCAATTTAAAATTTCCCAAAAGGGTCAATTCTTCAAAAAAAATAAAATTTTTGGTGTTAGATGCTTAGACAATAATAATAATTATAATAGATGGATTTATATAGCGCAAATAAATGAGGTCTCTATGCGCTTGGGACTAGATGTTTCACTTTTCAATAACTTCTCCTCCCCTAAGGGTCACTTCATGTCATCTGCAGCTAGTAAACCGGCGCACTTTCATCTGTTCACTTTCATCTGCGCACTTTCATCTGTCCATGACAGGGGCCGAGTGAACCAGTACACTGGGGTAACCCCCAAATTTATGTTTGATACTGAAAATTCCTGATAAAGTGGCAAGACTTACTGGCATTCATCCTGAGTGACTTTGGACATATCGGTACAATAGTTAAAGCGTCCCTTCAATAGTTGAACACCGATGACAGCGAATATAAACATGAAAAGGAAGTAAACAATTGCAATGTTTACAACATTCTTGACTGAATGTACTACGCAGTCGAAAACAGCCTGAAAGACAAAAATCAAATGCACATCAAGTATTTAACTTTAAACTAATTTTAAAGTTCTTTAAAGAAATCATTTGAACCAGACCACATTTCGTAATACAAATTATTAATTACAATTGCAGAAATAAAATGTAAAAAATAACTAAAAACATGCAAATTTTGGGTTTCTACTGTATTAGTGCATCAAATTAATGTTTCAATCGAGGCATTTTTTTGCCACAGATTATTTGAGCCAATGGCTGAAATTAAATACATACATAAACACACATGAAAAAAGAGTATAAAATAACCTCCATCTTGTATTAGCAGATAGCAGTATTAGCATGGCAGAATTGTTACAGATTGTTATAAAACCAAATGCACAAATTAGTCCAAAATTATGAACACTTACAAAATGGCAGTTTAATAAATATAAAAAAAAATAAACATTCTGTAAATTTTGTGTGCTGATTGAATAAATCAAATTAAATCTGTAGTCATCCTTTGCTCTGACCAAGATGAAGAGCATACACGATTGTTGATTTCCCCCCACCCTACATTTCAAAGTCTTTTATTTTCAAAATCTGCACAATACAAACAAAAACAATATTTTCTCAGAAAAGACATAGTATAACATTACTAGTATTGACTCACCTTCAATTTTGGGATCCTTTTGATGGTCTTCAGAGGACGTAATACCCTCAAAACACGGAGACATTTGATAGTGCTTAGATCTCCACTTCCCGAACCATCTGAACTATTTTGAATAAGAAAACCAAAAATGTTACTCTACAGACCTTGTTACCTTCTTTTATTCTTTCCTTTTCTAATAAATTTGATGGCATTGATTACTATTGTGTATCTAGTATATTTCATTCCTTGAGCAAATAATGCACTTAAACAGTAATAACATTTTTTTTGAGTCAATGTTAATCCTTTAAGCCAAGTATTCTTATTTGTCGCTACGATGTTTTCAGCGCAAGCGTTTTACCGGGTAGCAGTCCCCCACACAATCAGGAAGGCTCCCTGATTCGACCGACCAATCACTAACACCGAAAGCTGTCGTCGATAGCGTGTAGCAATTGTATGGAAACCTAGTTGATTGACAGATGTACAGTACTGTTGTATTTTTGTAAACATGGTGCAGGATGATTGCAATTTTATAGCAAGATAATTTGGTTCTCAAGGCAAGAATTGAAATTTGTTCAGTGTAATGGTTATGTCCCCATGCTTGGTAGATTTGGTTTTTTTTTTTTTTTGGTTTTTTTTTTTTTTTTTTGTTTCTTTTTTTTGGCTTTGAGATTTTGTGACAGTTGGTAAAAAAAACCCTAAAATACTTTGTTCTGGTGATTTATACTCAAGCAAACATTCGTTTTCAGGAAGACCAACTACAGCATCTATTGAGTATATTTTACAGAATGGATTTTTATAGTTACCTTGCATTGACACCAAATGCCACAAGGGCACAAATGACAACAGTTGCATCAAGGATGTTCCATATATCTCTAATATACGCACCAGGATGCAGTATCAAGCCCATATCCACTACTTTCATGATTAATTCAAGAGTGAAGATTCCGGTAAAGATGTAATCAAAATAATTCAAGACCTGTGTGATAAAAAAAAAAAACCCAGAATATTGTACATTTGACCATATACTACCAGGATGCCATCTTCTATTTATCTAAAACGTGTGGGTATAAAAATAGGTTAGAGGCCAAATGTGAATTTTTGATTTTACACTGAGGGCCACACACAAACTTTGATGATTATTCCAGTGTACTTCCAAAAACCTTTCTGCACTGCCTTTATATACTACATATGCTCAGTTTTGACAGTACTTTTTACAGATGGTTGGTGATGGACTGTACAAACTTTTCTAGCCAAAGATGGTTGGCGGGCCACATGCGTATAGGGATTATATTTCTGCGGGCCACAAAAAAAAAATCACAGTCGGGCCACATGTGGCCTGAAAGCTGCAATTTACCCATCTTTGACCTAAAATAATCATAGGTTTGTACCAAATACATTTCAGCATTTCACTTCTGGGGATCATTTGCAATAATTTGTAGATTTTATATAGTTCACACACTCTTGTTTTACTAGTATTATTTGTATATCCAGATGCAATGCCTTGGTTCTTGGTTGTATTATACTTTTATTTTTTACATTAAAAAAAAATGTTGCACTCTTGGTTTCTCCTCTTGTGTATGTATGCATCATTTAAAGTTTTGGACGCACTTTGTTTTTCAGTTTTTCACTGCTGTAAAAGTTTACAGCTAATAAAAAAATGTGTTTAACTGTACCGTGTTACGTGAACTATCTGTATTCACTGGATCTTCTGCAGCTAATGCAATACTACTAAGTCCAATAACTATCATAATGGTGATGTCAAATGCACGGTTTATTACACACTTGTGAACCAGCACACGGAATCTGTTGAGAAGTATATACAATAAAATGAATAAAAAACTTTTAAATATAACCAAATTATATGTGTCACTATTATACCTAGTGTTATTAGAAATGAAATTATATTTTTCATATATTAACTAAATAATTTCTTCATCCTTTTTTAAATCATATCTATTTCTAACTAGTTTAAACAACATTCCAATAGAGTACTACATTTAGGACTCCTAGGAGTTAAATTTGTTGGGTTCCCAATGCTGTGTCAAAGCTACAACATGAGGCATGATGCACAGGGGGAGGGGGGAAGGGTCCATGGATCTGGAAGGGGGAAATCCAGCATTGCTAGGGCAATATGGGGCCCTGGTCGAGTCCAGCGCTGAATGCCCTGGAAGCGGGCCTCATTTCAGGTGTTCTAAGTCTATTATGAGCTAACAGCAGCTAATAGCCCAAATTGCTATGAGCAGTTAATAAATAATTATACTTGGACATCATTTATGATTAGGTAGGTGGTGGCCTCTAGTGCCCATGCAGTAGGACTTGCTATGCCAACACTGCTTCATTAATGAGCAATGACGTACTTAGTGGCTAGTACAGGAGTGTCTCCACCGCCAACCACAGTTTATCATAGCTTTTTCAACTGATGTTTCAGAACCTATGAAATTTCTGAATAAAAAGCTAATAAGAACACACATAAATAAGCAATATACTGTACTAGTTAATCTAGGTATATTTAATTGTCAATAATAAACAAGAAGTATTAAGTTAGAAGCTATTTTCTTTGTATGTTTTTATGTAAGGTCAATCAAATTTATAGTATCTTGTATAATTAAAAAATCAATGTCAACTTTCTTGAACAGATCTGAAAAAGATATATTAAAAACCTAAACAAAAAGAAACACTTACGGATTAGTTGGACTGAATATAAATAGAGAACTGTACTGAACCATTGGTTTTGGACCATTTTCATCTTCCTCTTCCTCTTCCACTTTTGGAGCTAGAAAAGAAGAAAACTAAATCATAAACCAATTATTATGTACATGTTTAAAGAAATATTTACTAGTAAGAAATTCCAAGATGCTAAACTAAATTATATATTATGGATTATAAATAATTTTCACAAGCAATGTGAAACATAAATAAGAATCTTACAGTATCTACTTAATCAATATATTCCATAAAGTTTTATTTAATTTGATCAAAGTCAGCTTTCACCCACATCATTAATAACTTTGTTAAAAAAAGGATTATCAATTCATGTACCATAAGAGATCATATTTTAGACATTTTATATTGTGTTCTTAAACATACAAAAAATGTACTTAATAATATATTTTTCTATTCAATATCATTAAGAATGTGAATTGGCACTTACATGATCAACAAACAATTTTTATGTCTCACTCAGACATACTGTTTAACCCTAATACAAACAAATGACTTACCATGCAGTAAAGAAAAGTAATTAATAGGTTTGACAAAGTGTTTGGCTTTGAAAACCATAAACTGGCATACCCTTCTTGCTCATTAGACGAGACTTTTTTTATACCATGTTTTACGAACCCACCAATATTAATAATTCTGAATAAAAATAAAATTTTATTTTTGGCCAATTAGCCCAACCGCTGCAACGAAAAATGGAAATTTCAGAAAAAAGTTTTTTTTTTAATTAATTCTGCTGCTACCTTGAAATCTCCAAAAATTAAATATGTATATTTCTTCCTATATCAATTTAAAGCATTTCACCATCCCATTACTACACTGCTTACATTCAACAATAAAATTTTATTTTTATTTTCTCCTCCGTCTGAATGTTTTAGGCAAACCCGTTTGTTTCCGCCCTCCTTTGACGATCTTTAAAAAAATAAGTTTGCAAAACAAGATATAAAAAAGTTTTGCCTTATTAGTATATAAAAGTGAATACAGTGATCCAATAATGATTGAAAAAACTTTTTAACAAACTTTAAATATAGACTAATATGTTTGATCACTGATACAAATTAAATAAATACAACTGTTTTTCATACAACCGCCTGCCTGCTTTGAAATGAAATGATGTTCATTGCAAAACAATACATAAATATTTTAAAAGTTATAAATCAGCTGTTGGCACAATAGAAACAACACATTTCATCAACCATTAAGAGTATTTTATACACAAATAAAACAAGTAATTAATTACAGTATAAAACTAGTAATGATCTATAGAATAGGAGGCACAGGTATATGTGTCCTTATTGTTCCTGTCTGCAAATGGAAGAAGACATTTTAAACTATGTATTGTCACCTCAATCTAGCTATACAAAAATATGATACTATGATTTCCTAGCTGTGTACTGTAAGCTATTCTAGCTTAAAGGGCTATTATAGCTGAAGTTTTAAATCCCGCTAGAGAAACTTCCAACTGAAAACAAAAACTTTTTGTTGAAGGCTATGCATGCGACAATTATAACACAGCAATATTCCTTTTCAAGCACTGTTATTATTATTTATTTATTTACATAAATATATATATATACACCCAAGTAGATAAATATAATAAAATAACTTATTCCAAGTCCTCAACCCATATAAATCAAATTTTGAAATGAAACCTTCATTATCTTGTTGCCCGTTCTTCCTCCTCATTTGGCATTCACAGTGACAGGAACAAACACAAGGACATTCACAGGAGGGACAGTCACAAGGAAAAGGGATTCCGTGAACATTAAGATGATCGTACAGTTTCTTTAAACGGGTTTTCCATGTGTTCGGCTCTACAAACAAAAATCAATATTACGAAGACAATGCACAAACAAAATACATGAGGCACAAAGGGAAATGTAAAAGAAAAATCAATGAAATCAGGTAATTAAAAAATTAATTAACTAAACTTATGGTTGCTGTGGAATGTGTTCAAATTTACAATTAGCCAAAAGATGGTAATTGGAATTCAGAATTAATGGAGATTTAAAGGAAAACAAATTTTCACACAGTAATAAATATTCTGTATATGTAATTAAATTTACATTTTTAAGGTAAGTTTATTACAGTATTGTATTACAGCTATTGTAGACCTCTTAGTATTATATAATTAATCTAAATTGTGTGGTGTTGATAAAGCTAATGATAATAAATCTTGATAATAAGTTTTCCATTATTATGTAAGGGTGCTAGTTATATTTTTACCAGTATAAAAAGGTGTACATTACAGACTATTATTTAGTTTAGTTGATACTAAACTTTAAATTTATAAAAATTTAACATTTTAACATATCAAGACATTTTATTATTTTCTTGACTGTTTAGTTATTTTACCAAATTTATTAATTCCAAAAAACAATTAACAATTTGATGTGGTATAATTCTGAAAATGGTAAACATACAGGGTACGGAATGAAAAAAAACCCCAAAAAACAATGGTGTATGCAAGCATGAGGATGTAAGTGTATCAAATGCAACAGAATAGTGCATATACCACATTAAGCCAAAGTTACATAAAGAAAGTAGCTGACGCTTGATTTGAAATAAGCCAAACAATTTCAATGAAAAAGAAAACATCTTGGTGCAAGGTTTTGTTATGATTCTTGCAATCATATTAAGCAATTAGTAGAGCTCAGCATAGTACACTATAGGAAAATTATTATATGAAGGTTAGATTTAATGCTTGAAAAAATTTCCCGAGGACCTGCAAGGCTCGAAGGAAATTTTTGAATGCATTAAATCTAACCTAAGTATAATTTTCCATTTAGTATACGATGCATGCTCTAATAATTGCTTTATAAGTCAATCGCCGTCTTTTAATTTTAGTTTTTTATAACCAAATCTTGTAACAGTCATTGGTTGCTATAGTGATATGATCAGTATACGTGTGCGTATTTACATTTAGCTGTGCGTATGCCGATTTTTGCTCCTGCAGTACGCGTTTAATTAACTACACATCAGCAGTACAGTACGGATGCGATGAATAACTATTGTAATTTGCATTGTGTTAGAAAGAACTTGTTTGTAATGCTATTTTGATAGACTTTCGTCAAAGAAATGAACATTTCAGCATTCGAGAGGGAATACAGTCACTGACGTCCTTTTTAGTCGGTGCATGCAGACAGGTAAAATCGTGCGATGATTTCATAACTAGGCCTAGGCTAGGCTACGGCCAAGTAATAGTAGTTGGAGGAGGCCTGGGCGGCCTCCTGCTTGGCTGTAGGCCTACATCTAAATTTGTTCCTTCAGTGAGTCTTTAAAATAGGTCTAGAATATTCCTATTAAACGTTCAGTTTGTTGTGTTTATGAGGGTCCATTGATTTCATGAATTCCTTAATTGTTCATACTTAATATTGAATTTGAAGTAACTGTCTTCGGGTTCAAATAAAGCTTGTTTTACGAAAGTATTCACGGTGACAAAAAAATGAGGATTATTTTTTTTGCACACGAACCTAAAAAAAATCAAGCCAAGTGTCCACTTACGGTGGGGAATAAGCAAATAACATTGGGAGTTACAGTGATGACGTCACGATTGACTTATAATAATAATTATGACAAAAGCATTAGCAGCCACAATTTATAGGAAAGAATGATCTGTGACTGATTTATAGGAAGTTGAGATGTTTTAGTTGCAAGTAAAATTCCAGCTTTTTACTAACAAAGAAACATTAACAACAAATTTAAGGCATATATAATAGTCTTAAACATGATAGTAATATGTCAATGATAAAGTTGATTATAATATAGTATCTGAATATAATTTGTGAACAAATGAAAAACAATTGTTTGATTACATTAATGACATTTGAAAAGAAAATATATTAAGTATTTGGTAATCTACTTGAAAGGGATACGAGGTTAATAATTCTGACCACTACCATCTTTTCCTTTTAATTAATATGGCTCCTCTCATTGGTCAATTTCTAAAGAGCAGATTATATGACTAATGTTACATAAATACATTGATGAGATTGACTCTGCAAAGAATATGAAGAAGCATTGAACCATGAATACTTAGTCAGATTTGACTGAAGCTGTAAGAATGCTGTGGTGCAAACTGCCCTGCCAAGGACATGAACAAGCATTAACCATGGGTATGAAATCAGTTCTAAATGATGTTATGAATACAACAATGCCAGCTACCCTGAAGAAGAAATGTACCCCAGATTATGAAATCAGTCTTGAGTGCTAATACAATATGCTACAGTAGTTTAAAGTACTTTAACTATGTTGACAGCTTTTTAGATTACCAAAACTATTGCATTGAATTATTATATAGAACAATTAGCTTATAATGAAGCTAAAATATATTTACACACAATTTGAAAATACATTTATTGCCATACAACTGTTTAAATAAAATGTCAACGGACAATTAATCTGTATGTTGTCAGCATTCATGTTTTCCAGAAGGGTATGAATCTTACAAACAAGTTTACAACAAAAAATATTATATCATACGGTTTACAGTACCCTTTAAACCAAACCACTTTAACACAGTAACGTAACTGCAAAATAGTACAGTACCATATATGGAGTAACTGGGTTAAACCAATCCACTGCAACAGAGTACAGTACCATAGCTAACTGGTTTCAGTTAAACCACTGCAACATATTAAAGGGCCTGTCGTATGTGGTGTAACTGGGTTAAACCAAACCACTGCGACACATTACCATAACTATGTTTGAGTCAAACCACTGCAACATAGTAAAGTACCGTAGAGTACCTGGTTAAAACCACATCACAGACATATATAGTACCATATCTAATTGCTATAATCCAAACCAACCAAGCATGTTTCGGTTTTATTGTTAATAATGTGTATTAGTCAACTAGAACTTTATGCCATACATTATGCTATTTATATATAATGCAGCATTCTGCAGTAGGTTATGAACGGAATTTGTAGTCCAATCAAGAATAATGACAGGCATACTCTATCATTTGAAATATTGATGAATGCTTGCACCGAGGATAATTATGGTGTTTTATAGGATTGAGCACGAATGCCAACATTGACAAAGTCAATTGTGAAATCCCTTATTGATGGAACCCGCCACATAGGAGCCAACTAAATGCATTAAGACTGTAGACTATATAAATAAAGAAGTTTCACATTAGAATAAATACTGAACATCTATTTTCCTAATATGCTCTTCCAATGTTCTAGAGAATTTGCAATATATTATACACAGGCGAATCACATATGAGGCTAATGAGATCCTAAAAAAAACCACCATTATCATTCACAAAAAACCAAAAATTAAAATTTTGAATACATTTTTATTCTCCAAATTATAAGATTTAAAATGACGGGTCATTTATGAGTGAAAGTATTACGGCTTCTTTGTACTGAAGTATACAATACTCTCACATTCTTATTCTAATTACTCAGTTTAGCAATTGGCAACAGTATGCAGTGGCTTTGGAATGGCAAACCACACATTTCCATATGATCAGTACAAATATTTTTACTAAGTTTTATGAAAGGCACAATATTTAATTCCAATTCAAAGTCACTGACAAAATAATTTTATTGGCTACTATTTTTGTTATTAAATGGCAATGAAAGCCAGGAGAAATTAACAACTACTGTAACATTTTTAGTGGTTGGTAAACATGAAGCAAGTGAAAAAAAATCGCTTATTTTTACTTGCATCTGTTCATGCACGGCGTTAGGGCACCCACATACCCAAATGAAAGTGCAATCATTCAATCCAAACAAGAACGCAGTGTGATTCTTGGTAAATTGTATGTGCAATTCCAATCCAAACAAACAAATCTCTCAAGGTGCCATATTTATACATCAAAACATCTTTTATGTGTAAAAAAAATATCATAATTCTTGAATGCCTATTTCAGCAGCTATTCTCTTTTCATCTAAACGCAAAGATAAGAAGAGTACAATTGCTGAGAATTGCTTTATTTCCTCGCGGGATTTGTTTGTTTTGGACATATAAGTCAAGAGGCACCTCATTTTTGTCTTAAATCAACTTTCTCTCTGAACTATAAAAAATGTTTGACATATTATATCATTGCCCGATGGCACTGTTAACGCAATGTTGCAATAGGTGGTGCAGCTAGTTATAACTAGGTCAACTTGAGCAGCTAAGACCTAGGGTCGCTGATATTATGAGGTCACAATGGTAAAAGGGAAATGAAAACTTCATGACCAAATGTTTTAAGAATAATAATTATATTATATTATATTGGAAAATAGGAAATTGCAAATCAAGCTAGGTTAAAATACAGTAAATATGTTACATAAACATAGATTACTTTATTCTTTATTATTCATTATTTCCAGTAGCCCACTCAAGTGATCTAGCTATAAATGATATTGATTGAAATATCTTTATTTACTCATTATTTGACAAATCTAAAACATACACCCATCATTGCATTTCTGTAAAGTTTTTTTTTTGTAATCATTTAATTATATAAACCAATAATGCCAACAATTTTTCTTAAATTCAAACTGCATTTCAATTTTAGAAATCTAGTATTAAAAATCAAAATCATCATCTATCATGAATAAATTAAAAAGTTATTCATCCTGATAATACAAGATTTTAATTTATTATTATTTAACTGATTAAGGCTCAAATTAAAAGTAAGCAATTAGTGTGCAGGTGAATTTTTTTTCTATGTTAGGTTTATGTTATCTTTCCTTTGGGTGTCTTACCTGCTTCTACTTTTTTGTTGACATCATTGGACTTTCCCTCCTCACTGCAAATAAAAACAAAATCAATAATTTAATATCAATCTCAATTCACAAAGAAAAAAACAACATGAAGCGCCTCTTTACGGCTGCTAGGTAGTCACGGACCACGCCCATACGCATTTCAGCACAACGCCCTGCAAGTTATGGGTTATTCTCCTACCTTTCCTACCTTTACCTTTATCATCACCATCATCATCATTACCATAATTATCATTTGCTTGCTTAGGTAGCATGAAGAACATAAAATGTGACTTGATACATAAAATAATGGAAAGTGGTACTATATTATTTACATTGCAAGTTGTCCTGTGTCAGGATTTGGTGATCCCTTTCGACTCATACTTGGTGTCTGTTGAACTACTAACGCCTCCACCTCTCGGTTGATCTTATCCTGTTTTTCTGCATTCTCCATCTCTTCCAATCTGGAGAGTTCTTGAGCATTGGCTAAGTTGTCCACGGCAATGGCAAGGAAGACATTCAACAGAGTATCTGAACAACAGTAGCTAAGAAAAAACTTGCAGGATTTGATAAATTCAAATTACTTGTGATCTTTTGGATTCAGTGTCTCTCGTAACATCTCGTAACAGCCATGATGCGCGAACAATGGATTGTTTTTAATGACAATAATAACGATTTGCTCAGACTGCCACTGACATTCAGCAGGCAGCGTTGCACCGTTTAGCGTTCAAAGGGAGTGGAGTTAGACTTGTCGTACGATGGAGTGAGTCCCCCTATTAAGAAAAGGTGGCATACAAACAAAAAATCTAACGAATCAACCTTGACTTTAATGAAATTTGATTTAAATTTACAACCATTTCTAGGTTAATTATTTTGGTATAAATGTACTTTAAGGTCAACTTCACAACCTGAGAGCATAGAAGGTTAATTATTGTGATTTTAAAGATTTGGTTTGTGATAACGATTTTACAAATTTCCTTTTAATTATATATTAGTTGATTTTGCGATTGTTTGATTTTTTTTTATAATATTGCACATTTGAATTTTTATATAATAATAAACTTATATTTTTATAGCTATTTTTTATAATTGATGTTTAATGTTTTGGAAGTTGGAGTTAATAGTAATTTGTGTACAACATTTGCCACTCCCAAGCCTCCCTCTTTCATTGTTTCACATTTTCTTATGTGTTGTACTGTTTGCAAGAAGGAATAAAATAAAATAAAAAATAAAATGACATAATAAAAAAAAATAAATAAATAACATAAAACCTCATATGATCATTGATTGTATGACTTGACACTGATGGCCCTATTCCAAAATAAAGATGTTTCTTGTAACAAGCTAACAAACACTTGAATGGGAATTTCTGATAAGCCCAACTCCCCCTTTGGATATTATTCCTAAAGTCCCACAAGACAACAGCGTAACTGTAAGTTAAACATGTGAGTTTCTTGAACATGTGCATATCTCTGGCTCATTTCTAATTGGACAGTTGTTAAGTTTGAAACTCCAGAAAGGTCCACTGAACCAAACAACATTCTTTAAAAAAGGATACAGTTACCGAAGAGCACCAAAATAATAAAGTAAATGCTAGCCCACATTCCCGAAGGTACGCCACCTTGCGACACAATACCATAGTACATAACTGCATTCCAATCTTCACCGGTCAAAATCTAAAGGAATAAAAATATATGCTAATAACTCCTTCAAATTTTTAATACAATTCTTACAGAATTGAAAATAGTACAATATCACAGTTTACAGTATCCTGATTGGTGGATTTGAAATGAATATTTCCCATTACTAAATTTGTTATTGCTTAACTACCGTTATAATTTATACATTTGCTTATTTCAAATATGTTTTTTTTAATATTTTGTTTTCTCAATTTGGACTATCAGTAAATACGAAAATAATTCAATACAATTTGTTTATGTTTCAATAGTCTACCGTTTAACTGCTGTTTTGAATTTCACTTATAATAAATTGCTTATGTTCATTTCTGTCAAATGATAAGGGGTCGTTCACAATTACCAACATGTTCGTTGGTAATTGTAACAAACAGTACTCGTTTTCGGTACCCCTCACTCCCCTCTGAAAGCATCTAAAGCAACCTACTTACTTGCTTAAAAATGAATATTATATTAATGGTTACATTATAATTTTACCATTATTTTATATATTACATGTTATTTTGAATCACCATTTTTATGCATACCGGTAATATGTAAAAGTTTACAAATTTGTCTACCTCCACCCACTAGCATATTGTTTGTACACTTCTGTAAATGTTGATGTTCTCTAAATATCCAATACATTTTGTAACTTGCTCATGTTCAATTATCTGCTCATGCCCATCAAACTATTTTTATCATGTTATAATATTAGAAATGACAACAGTACTTTTAAGATCCATAGCCGACTAACGCAGCTATGCCTTTTATTCCTCTTTCTTACGTTGAATAAACTGCTCAAATCTTCATCTTACCTGGAAAACTGTCATTAGGGCAATAGGGAATGTGTCAAAGTTGCTGGCTGGTTTTTCGTCATTTGGATCAATGTTATTGAAACTAATCCACAGAGTGTATAAAAAAACAGAGCAATATCATTACATCACATTATTTTATAAAACATAAAGATTTATTGATATTGAATCAAATATTAATGATGCTATAAAATTTTATTTTTTTGACATATAAAAAGTTTTTAAACATTCTTCAACTCTTGAGTCCTATACGTAACAGTTTAAATATTTAGATTATTATTGTTGAAAATTATCAGTATATTTCTACAATATTTTATGTCAACATCTTTGTCGTCATTGGCACTGTTGTTTTTGACATCACCGTATTGTAAATAATTTGACAAATCTACTACTTTTTTAAGTTTCTTTTTAAATTTATTTTCCTGTTCTAGTCAATCAAAAAATGAACCATGTCATAATCAATTGCTAAGGCAACAATATAACCAACATGGTATGTGCCACATTTAAGCCCCTAGTTACACCATACAAAATCTGCACAGTACTATTATTGATTTGTCTCCAGAAGTGTTTATCAAGGTTGTTGCCAATCAATATGAATCAATAACAACCTAACTTGTTCGATTTGATTTTAATCTCATGACAGAGCTGGTAGAAATTCCAATATTTCATTGGCTATTAAGACAAACAACAAGAAAATATACAATTTAAACACCAGCAATCGTTTTGGGATTTTAATTTTTTTTAGTGCATGCTAACTAACACAAGCTGCCACATTTTGAACAATACAAGCATTATAAAAAGTGTTGTTGCAGCACATACAAAGCATATTTATACTGTTCACAAAACATATTCACAAAACAGTACATACGATGTATAGTACAATTAATTTTTGAATGATAATTAAAGTGCAATTATTTTATTAATTCCAAGAAATATTAAATAAAACCAACTGTTAAATAAATATTAAGTAATTACTGTTGTTGAAGGCAAAATAACATGGCTACATGTAGTACAAATGTATTTTGAAGAATCAAACATTCGTTTCAAATATTTAACAAAAAAGATGGCGTAAAGTAATTTCAGCAGCTTTGGATGACTTTAAAATAAAGAAAATTATGTGCATTAGCAGGATTGAACCCCAAAGGCTAGAAAATGCATATCTTGACCTTCAAATCTTCCAATTTGCAACAGAAAGTGATAATAGGCAAGTTTGAACTGCGCATCTCCATGTCAATCGACGTTAACACACACAACTTAGGGTAGGCATCAGAATTGACTAAAAATACTAAACTGCGATACATAGTTTAATGAATACTTGCTTCAAACGGCTATTTATTGAGAAAAATCCAGACTATACTTAAGTCTGTGCCAACTTGGAGGCCTATGTTGTGTGTATTAAATGATTGTTTATGTTGATTAACATTCAATACGGGCAAGTGCAGTTCAAAATCCGAAGTGGATTGTACCTATTTCTCCTAAGCAATATTTTCAAAGTACTAAGCAATATAATGCCATCATCACTGGTTCAAATGCTAGATTCTTCAGAAACACACAAACATGATATTATTAGTAATGATGTGGGTGAAGTTTTGCAAGGCAAAGTAACAATAATAATCAATGCTTGTGGTACGTAGATGGTTCTGAAAAGATTTTGTTTTGTCAAGTGTGTCTCAACATTCCTAAAGGTATCATAATTTTTATGGGACATCCGAATGAATAGTTTTTACAAATATTATTCTCCTGATGACGACAGAAACAAGTAAATCAAAACATCAAGACACTCTCAACAAAACAACAGTTCTTTTCATTTATTGTGCTGCAAGCATTGGTTATTATTAATAATGTCTGTGCAGTCAATCTCAAAAGTTCAAAGTATCATGGATATGATTCTTAAGGCAGGCAAGTTATTGTAGTGAATGGAAGATTGGAAAAGTTAGAATAGGGTTTAATGTTAGTAAATAATTGGTGTGATTATTATTTAAATATTTTAAGCATTATGTATAAATACCATGAACACTATTTTATAACAGCAAAAGAAATTCAACAGTGTTTTAATTATACTTTAATTTCATTGTTATTAATTTTAGTGTATATAAATGCATATTATTTAAACTATTATTGAAAATGAGGACCAAAATGTCACCATAGAAACAGAAAATGTAATCAAATGCATAAAATAACTGTGCAAACACCACATAATAAAACCCAAATTTATATTTATTTTTTACTGTATTGGTCAGTTTAAAAAAAAATTAAGTAGTCTAAACAAATTTTAGCAAAAGCGACAATACAAACAAGTAGCAAATTAGCGACCAAAGCAATTATAGAGTATACAATTAACAATATCACTTATTATATTGTATTTAAATTGTTAGCGAAAACATAGATATACTTTTTAATTAATTATGTAAATTTATTTTAATATTCAAACCACACCAATCAGAAAAAACATGCAGAAAGTGTCACGGTCACAAAGACCATGAGTGACGGGAATGTAATTACCTTCCGCCAAACAACTGCATTCCAAGCATGGCGAAAATGAGAATGAACAGGAAAAGCAGGAACAGCAAGCTCGCAATTGAGCGCAAACTACTGAGCAAGGAGATTACTAAGTTCCGTAGAGAGGACCAATATCTGTAGGTAGATCCGTGTGGAATGAGAGGATGGACGGTAGAAGGTAGGAAAAAAAAAACTACATATTAGTGACTCAAAATCAATTAAAATGTCGTAGTTGAAAGGTGAAGGTTCAACACAGTGTTGCTGATTTCAATGTTTCTTGTTTGTTGGAATTATTGTGGGTGGTTTCAAAAGCAAAATTTGTGTAATTTTCATTTCATATGAATAATATATTCAAAGTCATCCATCATATTTTGGTTTCAGACTTCTGAAAATTTTATTTATAAGAACAATTTCATAAAAAGTGGACAAAACAAATTGACACCTAAGGTAGGTTATGTGTCTTTAGTGATTTAGTAGAAAACCTTAACTTAATTTGATGTTGCTTTCGCCAAGTTTGTCCCCCAGGCTCCAAGACAAGAAACATTAGAGAGAACCAGAATTAGACTGTGATGTGGAATGGCCTATTTGAAGGATAAACTAGCATTAACGCCATGGTGTGGAGGTGGCTCTTAACGCTCATATCCTGTACTTACCGACCACCAAACATTTGCATACCAAGTAACGCAAAGATGATAAGGAACAGGAAAAGGAGAAAAACAAGACTGAGAATGGAGCGCATACTATGCACCAGGGACACTAGCAGATACCGCATTCTTTTCCAGTATCTGGAAACAAGATTTTTGTCAGCAAGTAATGATTCGTCATCATTTATTACATCCTTAAAGTGATATGAATAATGAATTATATTTCTCACGGTCAGTTGGCAGTGGAACTGTACAGTGAGAAATCTTGGGCTATACAACACATATTTTACATCTAAAATAGTACACACCTTTAAAAAGATGTATATTAAAAATGTTAAATTTCTACTTTGAAAACCCATTTTAATAGTAGAATAATTTAGTGTTATATGTTGCTATGTAGGAGCGGTTCGCAGCATACATATTTTGTTTGTTACAACATGGTTGTTTGGGTATGCCTCCACACATGATGAGTGGTAACAGCTCCTTGTATTTCAAAATCCTATAGATCCATGTAGACATGTCTTGGGGTTTTTGCCCAAAGCAGTGTTCTATAACCTGTGCTCCGTGGACCACTTGGTGGTCCGCCAAAAATTATCGGTCATCCGTCAAACACTAAGGATCCATGGGTGGTCCGCGAGAAATGTAAGTGGTCTGCCAAAAGTTATACATCTACGAAAAACAACATACTATTTTAATCTGACATTTCACACTTTGACGTGCCATGCGTATTATTGTGATATTGGGCTTATCGGCATTGCTTTGTTCCCAACTTGAAATCATACATGGGTCTAGAAATAAGCCGACACATTTGGTCGGTCTCATGCCTGCACACTCACTCTCGCGTGCCTGGGTGATGTTCACACGCAGCAGAATAACGAGCGTAGAAGCCAAATGTTGATATACTGTATTAGTGATATGAGTAGGCCCCAGATATTTTGAAATTGTCCAAATTACTCCAGCCTTGTTTATTCTTTCTGTTGTCATCACTTGAAACTTTGCTTTGTAAAATTTTTGAGTTGATAATCAATTTTCTCATAACACATCATTCAATTTTTGCCTTTAAACTTTCAGAGATATTATGTAGAGAGAAGATTCAATATTGTAACAAGACCCATAGTGTTGAAATATACACTGACAAGAAAATCTATAACATGTCAAGGGCTCCAGAGGTCAAACATGTATTTAGGGACCCAATAGTTAAGAATGACCTCTCCATGTTAGACTCTGATACCAGGCTAGACTGAAAACGAATTGGATTCCACTGCTAGTTTACAATTATAAGCTTTCATTCCCATTATCATGGTTAATTAATTTACAAGAAAGTATATTTATTATTATACACATACTGTAGCAGTTATATGATTTATCATACACAGTACAGTATATGCAACATATCTCTAAAAAAAATAATGGATTGTGCTTTTGTTCGTATATATATATATATTTGTAAAATATAAGAAAATCATTAAACGTCTTTAAATTTTACTGTATGTATAAACAAATAAAATACTTATACTCGCCTTGTTACTTTAAAAATTCTAAGTAAACGAAGAGCTCGAAGAACACTGAGACCAAATGATCCCTCTTTAAATACTGACCATATGACCTCAAACAAGCTCGCTAAGATGACCTGTAAAGATGACAACGCAAGTTACGCACAAGTTGAAGGATATTGTCTGTGTTACCAAAATAAACTTAAATAGAATTTAAAATGATAATTTCCCACTTTGTATATTTTCAAGTAAAGATTAGAAGAAAATTTTTTCCTAGCCAATTTATTAGACACAAAATGTTTGTATATTCTTTGCTCAGATTGAAAATCAGCAAAAAATTGTTTCAATCGGTGTCTTATTATATGTTAATAACATATTTGATCCTATTAATGAGCAACTTAATGTATGTTTTAATTATGTTTTTTGGATTTATAAAAAAAAATATTTTATCTGAGTTTTAAGTGGCTCACAGAGGTCATAATTTATTGGCCTGTGCCTGTTGAAACAAAAAATCCAGTCAAGCACCCTAAAATTGGTTCTGAAGCAATGTGAAAACATGGCGACCAATCATAGCTTTCATTTCATTTCATTTCTTTAGGCAAGAGTGCCAAGGATATGCCAATAAGTGAACTTAATCACTATCCTATGTGGCATATCCGCAGGGGACAGGGGACTAAATGGACCAATACACCGGGGTAACCCCCTACTCTTCTCGAAGAATGTACTTGGTTTTTTAAAGTGCACACAAGACAAATGCGTACACTGGGCCTACGGTTCAAAGTCCTTATCCGAGAAGACTTGTTCCACCACCGGACCCATTGGTGAGTGAGCCGTTCGAATCAGTGCCGATATTATAGCTGAAGGTTACGGTGTCCCTGACTTAACCGCTCGGCCAATCAACCCGCTTGTACTGTACGGTATGCACAATTATTATGTAGATAAATCAGGCAACGGGAAAGTACATCTAAAAGCCCCATTCCCGGCAAAATTTCACGAATGTCTAAATTCAGTTAAACTAGCAATTTCGTATTATATTCATAAGTCTTTATAACATATATAAAAATCAGATTTTTCGTAACTACTGAAATTTTGTCGGGAATGGGTCTTAAAAATTACAGCGATGATTGAAATTTGCAGGAATATAATTACTTACCATGCAATCAAATTTGTTAAATGCAGATTTGAAGTAAATCTGAGGTCCTAAACCGTACATTTTTATAGTCATCTCCAAGATAAAGACACATAGGAATGTTATCTCCGCATAGACTTGAAATTAAAAAAAAAAGGAAAAGTGCTACAATGTAGAAGTTACAAACATAAAACACATTCAGTCCATTGAATATACACTTGAGACGACCTACGCAAGATGTACATGACAACTGATAGAATTCCATTATTAAAATGCTAGGCTTTAAACACTACTTTACTTAAAATTAGTAAATTCAACACTCAATATTTTGACAAGATAAAAAGAAAGATTTATTAATAATAATTTGCACGAAAAATATACATAGCGTTTCACAAAAATAAAAAATTTCTGATTATTAATAATATTGTTATTTTCATTATTATTATTAATATTATTATTAACTATCATTATTATAATTAAATAGAAATTTTCTAGAAATATAACATAACTGGTACAGGCATATATAATGCACTTCTTCCTTGCGGTTATAAAGCGCAGTTCATTCCCCTGGTTATTGAGTCCACATAAATGAATATTGATCCATTAAACAATAACTAAATTAAAATTTTGAATGTACTATTAAAAGATATTGTACTTACAGAGGAATTGTTCAAGCCACTGTGGTTGCGGATAATGTTCAATAGCAACACATACTGTATTCAGAAAAACAAGCACAATGACGAGCCAGTAGAAACCCTGAGATTTGACCATCTTACGAATCTTGATCCGAAGTTGGTACTCCTTCTTGCGAAAACCGGAACATTGCTTTTTTTTCTGCCTGTCTGGTTTTTTGGAGTGATTTTTGGAATTTGTTAGTGGCTCTGGAGTTAATATGCAGAACATAAAATTGGGAGGGGGAAAACAGGGCAAGGGGAGGGGGAATGTCAATGGCATGGGTGTGTGAGGTGTAAGTTAAGCACATGCAAAGGCAATAATTAAAGGGTAGCAAATAAATGAGTGGGATAATTAGGAAGAATGAAGTAAGTGTTTGAGTAATGAATGCAAACACAAACAAGAAGCAAACCAAAAAGAATGAGAAAGGGAGAACCAAAAATGAAATGTGAGAGAAGCAAGCAGGAGAGGGGAGATGGAGAAGAGATGGAAGAAAAAGAAAAACAAATTTTCATTAACCACCATGCGTTTTTTTTTTTTCTGTTTTGTTTTGATTAGATATACCAGCCAGTAGGATTACTTTGTGAACATCAAGATTCAACAAAGTAGTTATTCAAAATCATCATGCTTTTGTGTACAGAGTAGAGACCAGCACGCTAACATCAATTCAATATCATTTACGATTAGATGTAATCTGTCATCCTATAAACAAGTTTTTTATCTATAAAAAGAAGTTGAATTGATGTTACCGTGATACCACCATATAGGCATATAATTCCCCCAAGAATAGGTTCCCACCATATAATAATATTTCAAATTAAAATGTGCATGTTGTGAGTCTTTCTGATTGTGTACTGCAGCGTATAGCTAATATTAACTATTAACACAATTCAAATGCTACAGTACAGAGTACATGTTAAGTTCACAAACTGGAATATACAATAGAAATGTTAGTAATCCATCTAGTCAAGAAAATGAACATAGAAATGAAACACTAAGGAAAGCTTCAAGTTAAAACATTAATGTACTTGGTAAACTAATGTGCTTGACTTGTGGATTTTGTATAGATATGACTGTACCGCAAATTTTGAGGGGATTATTAAAATAAAAATTGCATACAATACAACTATTGAATAACGTAGAGTAAAAGTCAAAATACTGCAATAAATTAAGTAAATAGTATTAAGAGGCCGTGATAAAAATTATATAGTAAAATGTATAAATTTACTTTTCAAAAATTATTTCACCAGAGACACTGCTTCACTATGATTGATTTATGCTACTATAGGGAAATTTAATGTTTCATTTATTCAGTTTGTACTTTATTATAAAATGTAGCAAGAGTTTTGCTTAAAGTCAATACAAAAGAATTATTTTATCCAAAATAAAATTGGCTCATTATTATACTGTAATATCTAGTGAAATTTTATTTTTAATTTATTCTGCTTTTTCCTTGCTATGCAATCTACAAAATTCTTCATTTTACATTATTGAGGTTGACATATGAAATCAATCTGAAGAGAGGGGAGGGAAGAGAAGGGGGTGGGGGAGAGAAACTATAAAATGAATAGTGCCAATAGGAAACTCCTGCAGTGGGTCAAGGTCACATTTTTAAAGTTCATTTTTACAGACTATGAATTATATTTCTCCTTGTCTATAATTTCTTCTTATTTTTTATTTAGCATTCTCCACTAAATTTCTCAACCAAAGTATAGAGTCAATAAAATTATCAATATTATTATATCATCATTATTATCATCACTATTATAATCATCATTATTATTATACACACAGTATTATTATTATTATTATTATTATTATTATTATTATCATTATTATTATTATTATTATTACTATTATTACTATTATTATTATTATTATTATTATTATTATTATTATTATTATTATTATTATTATCATTTGACCTATTAATCTTACAACTTTATTTTGCAGTTATTTAAAAAAGGGTACACAAACCTATATGCCAAATTACATGTAATGTGAATTGAAAACATAAAATGAATAAATTTCAATGCCATATATCAAGGGGACATATCTGAAATCGTCAAAAATCATGAAATCTCAGTAGCTACTGGTGATCATAAATCTCCAGTACAGTACACATAAACATTTGTATTTTATTAACATACTGGCTGAGAACAAAAACTTGCATCACCCCAACCCTCACTGCTACACATAGATTCAATGATAAAAATAAATCTAGAAAAAGAAGTACATTAGCCAAACAAATGAACATGCTAAGCGATGTTGATTGTAAGATATTCACGAAAAATAAAACAGTAAAAAGCGACTCTTTTTAGACTTTGTAGGGCGAATAAATACGAACAATATGTTAACTATGAAATGAACACCAAAGTGCCTAAAATGCTCCTGAAAAACTCATTTTGGATTTCTTTATGAAAAACCAACAAGCAAACAGTTTTACCACAATGAAATCATTATAACGTTGATAGAAATTAAAGGTCTCCATGTAACTATTCTGATAATTTTCATTGGTATTTCTTAACCCTACCATACATGTACAGAATTGGTGTTAATATAATATGAGTTATAAATTTAGTTTATACTAACTAAACATATAAGAAGCTATACACAAATATTTAAAACCTTATGTACAATAAACAATTACCAACAATACCTTTAAGCATTTAAAAAAAAACTACTATTTCTCTGTAAAAAGTTGTGATTCATAACTGAATTAATTACAGATAATAAGAACCAATACAAAATCATTCTCTATAAGAAAACTAAATGTGTGTTTCTGATTTACTACAATTTAAAAAGAGAATTTTAAAATTAAACCTTTGATTGCTTTTACTTTGTGATTTTTCTTGTTACATTCGCTAAATCTACCTAGAGAATGTGCAATTTTACAGAGCTATTAAACATTAGCTTATCCATTTTTTTTGTCAGGATACAGACAGCTCGACCTCAAACATGTCTTACTTTGCAGCGAAAAATTTAACCACAAAAATGTTCACACATAAATTTTTTCAGATAAAATTAGTACAATATGTCTCGTAGAATGTTGAGTGACTTGACTATAAATCAGTGAGCTAGCAAATTGTGTTTTGTGCATTTAGGAAGCTTTAATGAGGGTGTTATTATATAATTGCTGGTAGACTAGCATTTATGATGTTATTTTAACGCTTTCTGACATATATGAAGATGACCAACCAGCTGCTCACAATGAAACTCTAATGACATGCCATGGAATGGTGACAAAGGCTGGAAAAATGTGCAAGCAACTTCATGACATCATGAACATACATTAACATCTGAATTGCCAGATAATTTTCAAAATTCTTCTCCAATTTTAGAGAACTGCTGTTGATAATTCAGTTCATTTAAGGTATAATGTATTGAAATTACATTTACTTTGAATCGACAAGGTCTAGAACCGCTCACAGACTAATAATATTAGACTTATGTAGTGTCGCAAGTCAAAAAGGTCTCAAGAACATGTAGGACACATACACAACTATCTAGTGAGAAGTCGTTGCAGCTATAGTCAGTGCATTTTCTGATTGAACCTACCACTTTTACTCCTGGGAGGAGGAATACAACCGTAGGTAAAGTACTTTGCCCTTGGACACAAGCGAAATGCACAGCAAGGGATTGAAGCTACGATCTCACGGTTGAAAGTCATAACCACAACCACTGTGCAAAACCACACCTACAAAAATTACTACTAATGCTTAGTATGCAGCTAGGAGTGTCTAAAATTTGAATTTACAAAGCTTCAAATTCTTTTCCATTTGATTATTATTTATGGAGATATTATTGATCTAGTGCGTGATGAGTTGGTTGTTGAGAACTTTTATATTCCTCTTTTAATATTTTATTAGCATTTATGTATTGAAAAGTAATAACTAGTGTTAAAGCATAATTTTGGCAAGATCATCATTTGACAGCTCATGAATGAATGTCATTAAAAATAGAAGTAACTATTATCAGTTACTAATGTCATGAATAATAAATTATTAATAGCCTACCATTTCCCATCATTCTACATTGGAACCATTTTGTGCAGTGTTTTAAAAACTATAATTGGTTTTTCCCCAGCAATACTAGGAAATGCCATTGTTTTTGTTCTGAATTTTTTTTTTTTTTTTTTTTTTGCATATATTTTTCCTTTCTTTTGGCATTGTTTTTTTCTGGCTGTCACTTTGGTCACTTCCCATGCTTAGAATTTTTCCGTGCTTTGCTGAAGCATTGGCCATATATCAAGGATGTACCTCCTAATATTTAGTGTCATTCTATGGTGGGGGTGTGCGTATGAGGACCAATTAAAGTGATTTACAGTCGAACAGTCTACATCGAATATTTCAAAAACCGGTCAGTTGATCTGAATGAAACTTACGGGAAAGTTTAATCAAGTTACGAGGAAGAAATTGTCACAGCTAGGTTAAACTCAAAACTACCGTTTTGAGTTTACAGATGACAGATATTTTGTCAATTTGATCATGAATATAATAAATTATTAATGTTATTCTTCAGTTCATTTCTGATTCTATATTAGGATCATTACATTATAATCATTATTCTCTTAAATATTAATTGTTAGGACCAAAATATGCATACACAGATTAACCATGTACACACGGCTATAATGGCCCACCTCTCCCTCTCTCTCTAGCAAACAGCCAAAAAAATCTCTAACCATATGAGTAATCGAAATGGATTTAACCGATAAGTCAGAAGCATTTCAGGGGACAAAGGACACCCACAATACGTCTCCCACAATAGGTAAGAAATATTCAACGACCATAGCTTCCTCCCCCACCCCTCCCCCTACCGTATTCTGAATATTTGTGAATGACTATTATTAACAGGTCTGATGTATTGAGTTATACACTCTTAAATTAAAAATAAAGGTCTTCTATATGTACACAATGTATTAAAATGTCATTTTCATTCCTCAGATGAGGGGGTTGTTAGACTCTATGGTGATAAATTATGTAAATTTTCCATTTCAAGAACATTCAGCATTTATCCCAACAACAGCACGTGAATGATAGCTTAATCATTTAAAATTCCTGACTTTCATGATGCCTTAATGACTATTTCAAGCTATCTAATCTTGCACTGTATATGCACACATGTTGGTAAAAATGTTTATATTTAAATATAACGCTACTGACAGGGATGGATCCAGAATTTTTTGAACGGTGAAAGTGAGGAACACAACATTTTCAGAATAGAAAAGTGAGTAGCGCTTATTTCAATACATAACAATAATATGCATTGCAATTTTAAAATTTAGTAGCAAAAAACTGGGGATCCCCCACCCGCCGTTCCCTACAGGATCCGTGCCTGCACTACGCTTGAGTTATATAGATTTACAACATGAATGAAGCACCAAATGCTAAACAAACATGCCCAAAAAGATGAAACACTAATAAACTTCTTTAACAAATTCATGCTCATTTTTGTTTTAAAACAAAAACATATTAAAGATGTAAAAATAGATTGTTAAATACAACCTTCCTGAAAACAAGTACAAATCCAAAATATTAGTAATTCTAAACTCCTACCAACACTGACACGCAACATGTGGCTCATTATTAACACACTGCCATGTACAAATGAGTCACATGTATACTACACTTTACTAGACAAGACCCTCCAACAGAGAAAATAGGATAAAGAGAGAAAAGATCTCTGAAAATTCAAAATGAATGAAGTGAATAGGGGGGGAATAAAAAATTTAAAAAATTGTAAATTAAACTACTCTGCAAAAGTAATACATTTTAACAACCAAAAACAATGAGGTTATATTTTATAGTACAGATTTATCAATCCTTACATATATTTTTGATTTTCATGCTGATTATGTTTGAAATTTATCAAAAAAAAACTTGGAAGATCACATTATGGTTTAATGCAATTCTAGTGCGAAAAGTGACATTTTTTGGCTGATGTATAACTTTTTACACTCAGAGTAGTTATCTTCTTTTTCTCTGGATTTGTTAAATTTACAGTAGCAATCTCAATCATCCTCTACATTCTAAAGCTTCAATATTTATACAACACATGATTAGGTACACAGCCTCGAAATAGATATTCCAATGCCATTTTGGTTCATGAATATTCATTTTGTCCATGTCATGGTACCATTACTTTTATTTGTGATTTTGTGATTCGCAAGTATCACAGTGTATGGTTAATGCTGAAAAAAACAGAAACTGCTATTTAAGTGCTTTTATAATATCTTTATGATATTTTGTAGGATTTAGTTGTAGATTTAATGGTTCTCATAGAAATGACTTTCTTAAAGAACACATTATACAACAGACACATACAAGTATCACACCCACAAACCCTCAGGAAATAGTATACATATACTAGCACAAACACACACACACACACATATATATACACCAATACATCCCAGTACACACCGGCATACAACCACATTCAAGTGCATAAAGACAAACAATAAACATAAGAAAATAGTAACACTTATTAGACTAGCAAACAAAAAAACATAACAAACATACCAAAATTAGTACCAGAATTCATACATCACATTAACCATTTTACAAATTGTAACTAAAGAGTTTGTACCTCTTTTGTTAATACCTAGCCAAAATGAATATTCATCAAACCACGTTGTTATAACAGCAATGGCACATACTGTACTGAAATCATCATATATTAAACACTCAAATCTACGGACACGAAAAAGCAGGAGCAACAGCTGGTAACTTAACGCACTAATTATCTTACCACCAATAAAAAAAAAACCCTTCATTACACCATCAAGGCATTTCACTCCAAAGGATTATGTTAGTTGTAGCACCGTGACCTTCCCAACATGTCTTAGAGTTCTCTTCATAACTACTCAACGCTAAGACATACAGTAATTTAATACAAGCACCTTTCTCACCACCAAAAGCTTTTTTTTTTTTAATTTGCTGATGATGTAAGTAAGGGTTTGCATCTATTTACCACCCTTCTGACTAACACTTTAAACAATCATCATTATGGATAATATCATCAGTTACAATTACCCCATAAAACATTGACAAATTTTTAAAAATTCATTTTTTGTCACCAAAACTAGTGAATAATCAATTGTGAGAAATGTCTGAAAGTTTTTCAGAAAGATTGTTTAAAGATTCCTCAGAAGTATAACAAAGCCCATGACTTAAGTAGCGGAGGCCTTGTTAACTGAGATATCAGGTTTGATCTATGCTCTGCCACCTTAAAACCTGGCCTTGAGTGAGACTTTTAAATATGAAATGTACAGTATTCACATTTCTGTGGCTGCCAACCTACAGTATATTCTAGTCATTGGCATATTAAACAGTATTAGTTGCTAAAAGATCCACAATTTCTGTAAATTGTAAATATAATACAAGGCTACAGATTTAAAATGGCTGCTTCACAAACCTGAACTCTCAGTCTAAACAGGTTTTCCTGTTAAACTACAATAGGACAAATATCAGAAGGCAAAACTGTCCAGGACTATCAGACGACTCCCACTACAAGAACAACGAAGGAGAAATAGAGTGAAAAGCCCGGCAAACGACCGGGAAGGAGCGAGTGGAGATATTCCAAGCGAGCCTACCGTTTTTCTTAACCTCAAGATTCTCTATATCTCCCACAACCGCAACTCCATTTCCTGCTTCCCCATTTGTTTGAAGTTCTTTTTGTTGCATTGCTGCCGCCCGGCGACGAGCTATAGAACGAAAGCAAACTCATGGAAAAGGCATGCATCACAAAACACACAAACAAAAAAGTGAAAACAAAATTCTTAAACAATGATGCTTGTACAAAACAAAAGAAAAAAATATATATATGTATACATAGTTGAGTGAACATCACCAATAACAAAACTAAAGTGGCAATATAATTTTGATTTTTTTTTTCTCTTTCATTCTTGTGCATATGGTTCTTGGCATTCAAATGCAACATAAGTTATTAGTGCAGCCAATAGATATAATAAATGTGACAAAGTGTGCTTTTCAAGAATGGAGTTGCTGAGAGGATTCAAATTTTTATACAGTATTGGCAAAAAATACAATAAAGCAAAAAATAAAGTAACTCCGTGTACAGTATGTTTGATACAGTAATAGGAAGGTTGTTAACAACGGGTCATTGGAAGTTTGTTTTTAGGCCTCTCTCATTGGATAGTTACTTAAAGTATTTTAGGTATACAATATATAAATAGAGAGCATTTTCAAGGTAAATGTAATAACAATAATAAACAAAAAAAAAATAAACAAAATGTGAATCTTCAATCTGTCAGTATAACAATTATTAAAGAATTTCAAATTCACTCATTAAAACAATATCATTATCTTGTGTTAAATCGTTATTATTTTCTGCCTTTCACATCAGACCAAGTAAAAGAATCCAAATTTATTTAGTAACTGACTATTAGTTCTTTCCGGGTTTCATGCAAAAAAACTTTCATTCACAATTTCTTGTTAGTTATTACCTTCTATTGCTGCACGTTCTTCGTCTGTTATTGATGTGTCGTTAAGCAACACTTCCTCAGCTTTGCGAATCCATTCTATGTATCCATCTAATTCTTTTTCTGTTTGCTGCTGCCTACGCATTTTTAGAAAAAGGCGTCTATTTTCTACACGTTCTCTTTCTTTTGCGAATTCTCTGTGGTCAGAAAATACAATAAAAAGCATAAAGTTAGTGTCTTAAGCATTTGTGCTTCCTTACCTTGTACCTTTGAAGTATTTTGTAATCTAAAAAAATAATTCTTAATTCTTCTTCTTCAAATTCCATTAAGGCCACAACATTTTTGTGTGGCCAACCAACTCAATATTTCAAAAACTTAGAATTGTCTATATTTCTGTCTATGAATACTTGTATAATTGAAAACGGTACTTATTAAGCTTCAGGGGTCGCACCAGAGGTGGGGAAGAGGGCAGGGGCTCTTATTATTATTGTTATCATTATCTTTATTAAATTATCATTATTATTAAAATAGGGCAAAGCCAAAGAAATTTAGAAATTTGAGGATTGCAAATAAATCATTTTAATCAAGGACATGAGAGATGCAACATCTGAATTGAAATCACAATCATTGGATAGGAATTCCTAAGCTTAAAGCCTTACTGCATCACACACGGTAAAAAACAATAGAGTCACTTGCACACTCAATACACCCAGAGGTGTATTGAGTGAGTGAGGTGTCTGGCAATGCATACAAAAGTACGGCAAATTTTGGTGGGAGTGGAAAAAGATGTGATAACGAAAATAAAGTTGGCTGTTACAAGATGAGACCTTTCATAATTTTATAATTGTATTTCTCTCAAAATTCGAAAGTGAAGAGTTTGGTAGGCAAATACATGTGTTTTTCAAATCCGGAATTAGAGTATGAACAACTCACTTCAAAACACCACTACGTGCACGCTTAATTGTTCATCTGATCTGAACAAATCAGAACATAAGCAGCTTAAGAGAACAATGTGACAAAGTATCATGTATCACCATAACTGTGTCAATCTCAATAAACATGTCATCAAAGTGACGTTACAAAAAATTTTATTAATTTTTATTTTGGCCTGATGCAGTGACAATAATAAATGTTTGGTGGCATATTAATTCAATAGGAAACTCAAGTATTTAACAATCTCCCCAATTTGCAGAATTAAGTCTCAAACAAGACATATAGGTCAAGACATATAAGTCATTTTTCTGTATTCCACCTAATTTCTGTACATAACTAACATGAGATCCGCACTTCAGGTTTGTTTTTCGATTGCTTTGCACATTCTTGTTAGAGGGTGTTCCGGGTACATTGTGTCAAGGATTAAATTGAACATAGGATTGATCGTAAAATAATAGTAAGGAAACAAAACAAAGTCACTTACCCACTCAATACACCAAGGACTAAATTGAGCATAAAGAATGATCCTAAAATAATAAGTGGGATGAAATATACCCAAACGAAGGTACTTCCTAAAGCATTTGCACACTGAAATTTAAAAAATATATATTTAAAGATTATTTTAGGTTTGTCATTGATTGCATAACATTATTTTAACATTCATTGATACAACAACTTATTTTCAAAATAAATAAATATTTATTCGAATAAATGCCCTACTTTGAATAAACGCGCCCTTCGAACAAACTCCCCCCATGTACAGCCTCCTTTGGGATAAATGCCTTCATCATCTGAATGCCCCAGGGTGTTTATTTTTTCGTCGGAATGCACCCAACCCCCCCCCCCCCCCCGCGAAAAAAAAAAAAAAAAATCAACAAATCTAATGGAAGCAAAATCATTCTCAATCAATTTTATTAATGTTCTACTCAAAGTAGAATTACACTTTTTCTAACCTGGTTGGTCTTTATGATTACGCAATAACACATTCTGACGGTGCTGTACTTTTACAGTTAAATTAAGAAGTGCATATTTGAGTATATTATGTATCCATATCACACCAAAGAAAATAAACGCCTTAATCGAATAAACATCTCCCTCGACTAAATGCCCCTCAAAAACCAGTCTGAACAATAAAATGCCCCATCCAGCTTTTTCCCAGATGGAAGGCCATCTGAAGATGGCCCTAATACATCGTGAAGACCACTAAATTAAGCACCCCATTATCAATAATATTTGAACAATAAGCTTTACAGCACTTACATCATACATTACATCTGTCCAGCCTTCCATGGTAATACATTGGAAAACCGTCAACATTGCAAATAACATGTTGTCAAAATTGACGATTCCATATTTAGGCCCACTCCAGTATTCCGTGCAATTTGATCCCTCAATTGCCCCACACTGCCTGCCGGAATCCCCACACACCATGGGCGGGTCTTCAGCAAATACCCCTGCTCAGTGGAAAAAATAATGATGTTGATAATAATAACTTAAACTTTGTTGATTTACTTTAATACTTAACTAACAATAGTAAAAAGAATATCATATAATAATATTTTAAAAAAAAACTATGAAGTAAAAAAATGACATGAAAAATTACTTGACACTTGACACACACTGCAATCGTATTGGTGAAGGTAATATGAATAGTTCTAACAATATGGCTATACACCATTTTCGCAAAATTTGAAATGAAAATTTCTGATAACCTGACAACTGCCACGGGGGAACTTTCAGAGGTCTAGCATTTCGCTCTACATACTTAGCATCATGAATTAAATCAACGACGACACTAAATTAGTAACAAGTACAAATATTTAAAAACGGAAAAAACATGAAATGTTTACATTAAAAACAAGTCTATAGGTCTTAAAAAGCTATTTCAATGTTCACATATAAAGTAATTACAGTAATTGGCATCGTATCTGTTGTCTAATCCTGCAATAGCAAAGGTTTAGCAGTGCTATCTGCTGCATGGTGCTTTATTCGTGACTAGCCAGACGCTCAGGCTTAGGCCGCTGGAAGTCCCCCAGGGAGTTGCAAGATGTTGGCGGCGCTGTTTCAAAATAAATCCGATGAAATGCTCTATAGAACCTAATTCTGTTTTTGTATTTATCCCAGCTGTAACTAGTTAGAAACACCTAGGCCGCTCCTTTATTAAAAGCCTATATAATTAAACTTTGACACTATAATAATTATAACCAAAACTATTTCAATTAAAAGGCAATTTTTCAGAACTGCATGCATTACAGTATTCATTGAAGCAAATATTAAATTTTTTACATATCAATGTGTCTAGGATGTTCTGACCATGCACCAAAACAACTTTAATACTGCAAGTGTGTACGAAAGGCAAAAATGAACAGATTGAATGCGCTGCACGATGCAATGGTTGGACGAGTTCCTTATACAAAAAGGGTATATAAAAATGCACTTCATAAAATAAATTCCCAATCTAGAACACTGTAAAAATAAGTCCAATATCAAGCATATTCATTTATTGAATTTTAACAAGACTTTGATAAGGCAGGTACCATATTTTCATCAGTTCACAAAATGGAATGTGCCCGGATCCCTGGGCCGACTTAAGCTTGGTCAGTTTTTCGTCTTCAAAGCCTTTGAAATAATTCAAAAATGACTGAAGAAAATTTTATCCAATAAGATTATTTTAAATATAGTTCTGATCGCAAGAAAACTACCTTTCTGTTGCCGCTTAAAACTAAGCAAATGGATTGGTATATGCAAAGGTATGCCGTTGTAAATAAACGACTCACAAGCCGGCTCAAATTCCGCTGAAAACACGCTAATAGTGCTCATATTTTCGTAATTCAACCCAAAAATGACTGAGCTAAATATTTGAAAACAAATATTTTGTAAATTGTTTACAATAGCTATATGTATAACCTCCTATAAACCGTTTCAACTTAAGTCATCCAACCTTTTGGTTTTGAGTTACCTTTTTGGTAGTAAAATCAGTCAATGTTTATGAAGAAATGTTAATGGTTAAGAGAGAGGGTAATTGTTTCACAGCGGCACGTTCGCAGTTAAGTGAACCAAACAAATAGACATGAGAATATAAGTCACCTACGATAGTCATTCAAACTATACCTTGGGCCCAGGGAATGGCTGTTACGTAAAACTGGGCATAAAGTGGGGGGGGGGAGGTGGGGTTATACCCGGTATGGGTTTTATATACCCAAAGAACTACAATGTTAAGAAAAATAATCTGAATAGCTTACAAGTATTGGTTACTGTGCCATTAGTGTATGTTGTCCTGAAACAAGTTTTGTGAAAAACGCCCCTGAAAAATTCCATTCCAGTGATAGCAAAAATCACAATTACAAAGAAAATAAGAAGACCGATTTGCAGCAAAGGTGCCATGGCACATATGATAGACTTCAGTACTACTTGTAAACCTGCAAAAAGGAACATGGTAATTAGAAGAATTTTTATACCATAATAATATACATACTGTATACAACTATGTGTTTATAAGGCCAATGGATGTTCACACTCAGAAATAGGCAGACCAAAGTCAATTTTTATGAGGTTTAAGCCTAGATAAATAAACTATTTGGCTTATTTTATTTTTTTAATTTAGCTCCTTGTAACAAAAACCAGCTAAACTTTGGATAATGTTAACAATAATTCAATAAAAGTAACTCAAAAAACATAATAAAATTAACTGTGATGTTCTGTAACATCTTTATGGGGCTATGTGTTTTTTGTTGTTTTTTTTTTGTGAGAAAATGTTGACATCTAATTTGGTTCAAAAATTATATTATGTTTAATATATTATTCAGACAGTGACTAATAATTAGCTATCTACATTTGAAATGTCTTATACCAAATACTGACACAGCGATAGAAATTTTGTATGTGTACATCCAATGAAAGGAATAAGTTAATTATATTTCCATGACAGAATTTTATAATAATTCATTGAGAATAAAGAAAATACCTTCAAATTAATCTTATATTTTTAATATTTCCCATAAAATATGTAATGGCATTGGGTAATAGAAAACAGAAACATTAAATTGGCTTTTGGTACTTGTAAAAAATTGAATTTTTATCAGAATTTCAGGGAAATATAATGATTATACTACCAATATAATAAAAAATTGAATTTTTATCAGAATTTCAGGGAAATATAATGATTATACTACCAATATAATATTATATTATTGTTTTCACACTATTTTTTTTTTCAATTTTTATTTACAAAAATGTTCATACTTGATTAGTGTGCAGATGTGAGAAAAGCACTGCATTATCCTTTATTCAGTAGAAACATAGGTCAGTTATTTACATTTTTAATTTCCTTTTCCTATTTAATAGCTGAAAAGTATGCTTCACAACAATTTATTGTGCATTTATAGGAGGGTAGTTAGAGCGTTCTTATTGATTTATAAAAGGTAAATGTTATAGTTCTTTCTTATAATCATTCCAAAGAATAATTAGAGGAATGTTTACAGCTATTAAAAAAAAAATCTGGTGCTTTGTGTAGAACATATTAATTACATATATGTAAGTATCTGAGCAGGAATTACCAATACAATCCATCATACTGTGGATGAATAGTATAAATTGATATTATACTTGAATTATTGATTTTACAGTATTTGTATATGACTACCTGCATTAATATAGTTATTGCAATAATCATTATTGGGAATTACTTTTGTTTATGTATGTATTAAGCATGGAAGAATTAAATAAGATCACTCACAAGATTAAACTACTTAAGTTATTAAAAATATATATTAGATCAGGGATTACTTATAATACTTATATGGATTAATAACATGTTATGTATTAAACTGATTACAGAAGTCATAAATTACAGGATTACAGTACTTATAAAATAATTTCAGAGATTACTGACTAGATTATTATGGGTTCAGGGATTAAATAGTAGTGGTTTATTAGGATTAACACTTACAAGCTGCATCATATTCAGTAGTTGGATTATTAGCCACAACATTATTTGCTAATTTACATATTAAACTGGTCAAACATAAATCACAAGATTAGTACAAAGCTACTTAATAAATAGACTTCAATAGTCAGGGATTAGTTACAATTAATCGCTACAGTACATACTACAGTATTAAGGTTTACTCATGTGAGACTGCTTGAGGGATTAATTACTGGCTCATCTAGAAAATTGTTAAGGATTACTATGGGATTAAAAAGGTTTCACAGATTTGCACTAGAATAATTGAAGATAAGTTAGATTGTTTTAAAGGTTAGTTACTGGTTAATTTTGATTAAATTAAATTAGTAGTTGAGTGGTAAAAATATTATTTAATTCTAATTCCTTGCCCAAATTACATTATGATAAATTGCATATTTGAAAAGAAAATTATTTGGTCAAATAAATACTTCATGTATTAATATTGTAATGGATTATTTTAGAGATTATATATCTAATATTTTAATCTTTTATTTAGTAGAGTAACAGGAATAAAATGTAACAATGTAACAAGTGATACTGAATTACTTAACAATTAAGTGAGTTCATTCACACAAATATTCTATATTTAATTGGTTCATTCAGGTGTATGGTAATAACATAGTCTATCGTAGAATTACATTATAGGACAACATATACAGTTAAATGTGATTTGCTTCTTTAATCAGTTTGACATATATAATAATAATAATAACCACAAAAGCATAACATTTGAAAAAACAATGTAATATCATATAACAATATTGTCAGCAATGGTAGGGACCTTGAAAAATATACAAATTGTTCAAAAAGCTACTGTAAGCAAAGCTTGTTGAACCCTTTACCTGGATCGCTAGTGAAAAATGCTGTAATACTGTCCCACTACCGTTCTAATAGCATTGGCTCCCATGTTCCAAAGCGCAATTTCAAAATGCATGCTGCGTCTACTTAAAAATTCTGTAATCCCATAGCAAATTGAACCTAATACTGATATTTATATATTAATTAACATAACAATAATAATAATAATAATAATTATAAAAATATTGATGTTACGATGGATATATGATGCGAAGATGATGCTGATATAATGAAAAAAGCTTCCTTTGTACGAGATTACTGTATATGATTTTAAAGTTAAAGGCTTTACAATTTATATCTTTATTATTAATAAATTATATGTCAATTATGTGGGTTGCAACCCAAAAGAGAGTTGCCAATAATCTTTGAAGGGTTTCTAAAAATTTATGAACTAAAACATTTTTTTTTATAAATATTATGAAGAAATTTTTTATAATATGATAAAATTTCAATAAATATCAGATGATCATACTTGAAGCACGTCAGTTAACATATTTAATTGGCAGGTAAGTTTAGGAAATCCAAAACTATGAATGAATATTTGAGTGGGTATCTATATTTTTCTTTTTGTTTAAATGTTAAGTGGTTAGAGGCAATTTTATTGTAATAATAATAATAATAGATGGATTTATATAGCGCAAATAAACAAGGTCTCTATGCGCTAGACAATAATGAAGTCAAGAACACAAAGAAAAAAGCCGGGAAAAAAAAAAACAACAAGCTAGCACCCAAACCGAAGTATTGGGTTACACCATCACCGCCAACCGGAGATCTGTGTTTATGTACTCCAGTTAGCATCGGTTAAGTTTTGATCTTTTCTGGGATCAGGTGCTTCCTAACCTGGAACAAACAACACTAGCTAGCAAAGTGAAACAGATAAAAAGAAAAAAAGAAAAGAAAACAGTAGCTATAAAGAGGCAAATAAAAAGGTTTTGAGCCGCTTTTTAAAGATGTCAATTGGCGCTGATTCACGGACTTCAACGGGTAGTGCATTCCACATTTTTGGAGCCGCAACACGAAATGATCTCTCACCATATGTTTTCGAATGGCACCCAGGAACAAACAAAGTTGATGAACTTGTAGTTGATCTGAGTGC